CATTGCAGCTCTTAGTACTGGTCTTTCTTGGCTTCAAACCCATCACATTGCAGCTCTTAGTACTGGTCTTTCTTGGCTTCAAACCCATCACATTGCAGCTCTTAGTACTGGTCTTTCTTGGCTTCAAACCCATCACATTGCAGCTCTTAGTACTGGTCTTTCTTGGCTTCAAACCCATCACATTGCAGCTCTTAGTACTGGTCTTTCTTAGCTTCAAACCCATCACATTTCAGCTCTTAGTACTGGTCTTTCTTGGCTTCAAACCCATCACATTGCAGCTCTTAGTACTGGTCTTTCTTAGCTTCAAACCCATCACATTTCAGCTCTTAGTACTGGGTCTTTCATGGCAAGATGAAATCCTAAACCTGTTAAATTATGTGTTGGAACTTCAACGGGTTAGTACAAGTTCCAAATGACAATCCTCTTTTCAACCACGATACATGTACATAAATCCACACTGACATGTATCCTTCATTTGATTATTGAGTCACATGTATACTGTATGTGTGCCTTTTCCAAATCTGCCTATATACAGTGTATCCATTCATATTCAAGTGGAAAGCTGCATCAAACCTATTGTGTGGGAAAGACCTCCAGCTGTAAGGGTGAGTTAGGCTGGATGGACGGATGGATATCCTGAAGCAATTTATTCTTGGGTGATGGAGCACACTGGCTTGCTACTGACCCACATCCACACAGAAGCCACAATCACACATTCCAGATTCTTTCATTAGTAGTGTCTTTATCAATACATCAGCTTTTTCAATGAAACTACCGGTAGATAGTTGGGCCCCTCTCTCTATTCAAGACACAAAACATTCCCCACTGAGGATGACATGAGCACAACGTGTCCATGAATGGACAAGCAATCCATTCTACACTTAGATATTCCAGACTGAAGATGGGCCTAGCATACATTATGGCCATGCATAGCAGAGTGATCCATTCTTGACAAGACATTTAGACTACCGGTAGCATACAATATGCCTCACTAAAACCTCCTCGGCCTCAATGACACTTGCTTTCACATGCTACACTCTGCTGTGTATCAGAAACCTGTGACAGAAGGGGTGCTACACATTATCGGATGCAGCATTTTCATCATGGTCAAACCAAAAAGGGAGTCAAATACTACATGTACTCCACTCTTGCAAAAAGGGTAGACTTTACTGACTAACCCATAAGACTGACAGGCAGAAGTTGAACTGTGAAATTTCTGCATCAGAAACCACAAATTCAAGTTACATGCAACTTAACTCCTCCTGGAATTGTAAGCACTTATTTGATAATGTACTGTACATGTATACTTATGGGAAAACACAATTAACTTCTCACAACTGAAACTCAGCTAATACGGTACACGCAGTTGGCACAAGAGATATCAATAAAATCTATTTGCTGCATTTGAAGAACTGAAACTGAGAGGATCCTAATTATATGTAACAATAAAATTGGGCCCTTATACCATTTTCACAAATCTTTTTCACCACAAATATTCTTTCTTCAATATCTACTCTAGTTGTAATAGCTACAAATATGGCACATAGAAATATTTTTCATAATCCAGTGGAACAGGCTATACATGTAATCTTGATATTTTCCTATGACTTTAAGCGAATAACCTTTTCTGTTAATAGAACACAAAAACTAGTTCTTTTAATTTCTAAAGTGCAACCCCTAACCTAACACGCTATCCCAATATACAGCTTGAGGCAAAAATATTGCCTTACTAAATATTGATGGTGCAAAGTGTGCTCCACTCACTGAGAATACATAAAGATATGCATGAAACACTGTCAGTCTTCATGTATTACTTCTGTCAATTTCTCAGGTAAAGAGAGATATTGCCACTTGTTCTGACAGAATGCATTACAGTCAAACACTCCTCATTCATGGAAGTCATTCCTAATGTCACTTCAATGTGTTCCATGTGCATATGTTTTAACTGCTCACTAGCGATTGTGTTGTGAACAAACAGAATTCCAGATGGAAATAATTAAAGTCTGATTTGTTGAAATCTGAATGAAAACCTCACAGCAGCAATATTTCAATATTAAAATTAAAGTGTTGTTGGAGAAACCTGTGACATGAGTGATCTACATTGACTCAGTAAAATTAATCTTACATGCATCACAGTCTACATGTACATGTGTGTAGAAATTTAAAAGCCACTTGATTTGGGGATGAAATTCACATTAATCACTGAGACCAATGACTGAATACTGCTGTAGAAGAAACCATTGTCTTTCCATCATTGTGATATGACAAACAATACACAGTGTTGACTCCCAAGGAAGAATAACTTGAAGTAAGTATACTGGACATTTCTAAGTGAAGATTTTTGTGCTTAGCTGTCGACATATACCACTTTTAACCAAATTAGCTTTCTGCTTCATCAGGACAAGTCAACCTGATAGTGAAGTTCATTCACTTTTGCGTTGTTCTGCTGAAATTCGTGAATGCTCTCAGAAAATATCACATCATGGTTTGTTTACTTGTATTAGTTAACTAAGACAACTTTAATTTCATTGAGTAGCTTGGTCAACCTTAACAACACATCCTACGTCAGGATATAATATCGTATGAAACGTGAAAGAGGTTGCAAGTGGAGGGGTGCTATTATTCTTAGACTAGTGTTCCATCAAAGAAAATATTTCAGTGCAAACAGACTTCTTTTTTCGAACTACTGTTACACCACATGAATTGACAAGAGGTGATAAAAGCCTAAAGTGAACTTACCGCATCCAGACCAGAAGACATAATCAAGAATGCAGCTGGAGACTGATGCCCACGTGGAGTAGCACTTGATGGTTCATTGTTACACTGTAACACATCTTCGTATTCAGACTTCCCCTTGTGAAATTCATAGTCCTATAACAAACAGACAAATATGCAGGAGGTATCACAAAACAAATTTTCACCTCAGGAACTTTTTCAACTGCTAAGACCTACAGGAAAAGCAAATAAACATGCGAAGGAAATGTGAACCATGTTAATCATACAATATGCAGTGTCGCCATACTCGGCTTTTAAGTTCACTTGGTACACAAACTTTGACTTCAATGCCAAAGGCTCCAACTCAGACTTGCATGGATAATTGAGTTAATAATCAAATACTGACTCAGTACAACTGAAAACAATGCACACCCAGTAAAAGGCAAAACAGAAACTTAACCATAAGCTGCCAGGGAGCCCAGTTTCAGTTACGTTGGGTTTGTACGCATAGCTGGGGTGCCCGAAACCGGACAAAAGAGCCGCGTTTGAAAAGATGCCACTGGCATTCACTGGGAACAAAGGAAATTACATAACACCTCACAATTCTGAGCTCTCTTTACAAGGCAGCAAGCCTGGCTGAAATACTCAGGCGTCAATGGAGGTTGCCTGTCAGATTAGAGTAGCCACCAGACAGTCATTCGTGTGGGTGAAAACGTCCATTTAATGAAATTATGAATTTTTGAAGAATTTTGAAAACGAAAAATCTTGAAAATCGCTCGTATGTAGGCACTGCATTTTTAAAAGCACCCGGCAGGAAATGGTTTAACACTTACATCTTTCCGATGGAAACAAGAAGCATTGATAGGAAAGATTTTTGACTTATTGCATGGAAGATCGTACCTCTCTACGAATGGTTGAAATCTCAAAGGGGTCACCCATTTCATCACCAGCTGTGCAACAAAGCAATAAATACAATTTTCATATATACAAAAACCTCCTGAAATTTACTTTTATCATAAAGACTTGGTTAAGTTTCTTCCCCAGTAATAAACTGGCAACACCTAACTGGTGACTTGTCTTGATAAAGAAATAAACAAGGCTTTCTGTCACTCCATACAACTCTGACTAAGTAATTAAGAATTCAAAAACAATTATGACAATGGAAGCCACTTCTGTACTGTTTTTGGCTGAACACAGAGTACTCAGGACAAGAACGTTTACATGTGTAACCATTCCACTATGATTTCCAAACAGTCTTATTTTCGAAATTGCACCGTCCATATGTATCTGTATTTGAGAACATACATAATTCAAAACTGCTGCAAACTGCTTGCTGGCTACAGTGACTTCAAACACAAATCCAAAATGTAGGACCCGACACCTCAATCTTAGCAAAATCTTTCTAAAAGGCAAGTATTAAAGCTGATAGTTATAATTCTTATTTCCAACAACTTAGGCTCCGACCGGCCAGCCGACCCCAGAGAGCCTGTTGGTCAAGACGTCTCCATTAGTGAGTCGGAGGTCATGGATTTGATTCCCACCTGATTAAGCTTGTGAATTTTTTGCAAGCTCTCAAACACCAAACATACAATGTTATAAATCTATGTTAGTGTAAGGGCCAAACCTGTTATTAAACGTTAATCCTAACCCTCCTCGGTACCTTAACTGCAAACTCTGCCAGACACATTAGTCTGCATCATTTGTTAAAGTGGCTTACCTGCCAGTGTAAAAAGATCCAACAGGTCAACTCTCCCCCCCAAGGCCACACAGCCTTGGAGTCTGTGGTTGCCAGTCCCCACAAGATCCAACAGTGGCATTGTTCAATGAGACTAGCTCCCATTGTCTCAACATGGCCAGTTTGTTGGGCTGCTGTTGATTGCCCAGCACAACAAAGTGCATCAGACTTTCACACCTATTGTACTATGCTACATCTGGCAGGGTTATAGTTAAGCAAAAATTAATCAACACTTTTTAAAAATATTCAAGAATAAACTCTTACCAGCTTGTAGAGCCTGTGCATGTTTGGTCTTGAAGGCGGGACCATTATCCATAACAATCTAGAAATGGAAAAAAACAGATCAAATAAACACTCCAATGAGTGAAAGATACCTCCAGGTTTAAAACATGATAAATATTTAAAGTGCAAGACACAGGAATGTTCAGCAAAATAGAGTAATCTACTGAAACACAACTGAAGCAGTGCGAATGTGGGTAGTTGAACTTTGCATAAATTTCATAATAACCAACAAAAATTAAAACATCCCTAAATTACCAGAGTGAGAGAAACATGAACTAAAATAAGCACACCATTCTCTCAAATTAATATATATTGCTTGTTCTTTTTGAAAGTTATTCAACTATATTTCAATACAATATTGGACTCACGAACAAAGTGCTTAGGGTATAGTTTCCTTGTATTTGTAATAAATATTGGTGTATAGTTTAAAAACAGTTTTGAATAAGGTGAACAATCTACAGTCCTTTCAGAATTACAGAACATATGACAAACAATAAACTGACTAACTGCCAAAAGAGTTAGATATACACTGGTTAAGAATGTCATTAAATAATAGATAGCTACACAAATATTATTTCTCTTTATGAACAGAAATGCTAATGGCATGGCCGCTCAATAAACAAAACAGAGAAAGATTCTAGTGTATGTAGTTCCTTAACATTCAACCTTTGGCGTGCCAGCTCTCATTATCTTCAAATAAAGCCTCATTAGTGACGTGACAATAAAGCCCACTCAATAAAGAGATGTAACCGCATTTTTCAATTTCTCTTGAACAGTTAAACACTCACGTTGAAATCAGTGACACATGTACTTAATAAATAAAATTAAAATTTCATTGAATTTTAATCTAATAGTTTCAGTTTGCTTTTCAACAACATTTTTTTCCACACAGTGAAAAGGCAGAGGTTTGTAGATTATGTTACAACAGACACACTTCAGTCTTAAACTAAATCCACAAAGGAATTGTCTTGCCTCGAGCTGTTTGCGGCACACTTCCTGGCAAGTGAGAAGGATTAAATTAAATTAGGCGGTAGGCTGCAGTTCAAGCAGAGAAAATTATGCTGAAGACTAGAAGATAAATGCACAAATTACACTTCAGGAACACGATAAGCAAGCTCATGGCCCGAGGCATGGAAGGACTGTAAATGCCGAGTAACATTTTAGATCACTGCACTATCTACAACAACATTGAATAACCGGTCAAACAATCTGCAAGGATGAAAAACAATGTAGGACAGCACTGTTGACATTTTAGAAATATCTTGACCATCATTTCATGACACATCTCACGAGTGGGTATTTACGTAAAATATCTGAAATGTATATGCTAAATCTGGTGATTATTTGACACATGCTAGCAGTCAGCAAGCCATGATTCACACAATAACTTTCTACTTTACGTCCCAAAACTCTTACAAAGGTGGATACCATCATCAGCAAGCATTACGCATGATTCAAACAATAACTTCCTACTTTACATCCCAAAACTCTAACAAAGGTGGATACTATCATCAAAATGTTACAAGAGTTGCAGCATGCACTTCATGCCATTGATGCGCCATTCTTGATGAAAGATAATCTATAAAACAAGTGGAAAAACAAATAAAGAGACATATGGGAAGGAAAAGCAAACAAGATAAAAGTGCAATTGATCCAAGTACTTACGGTGTACTTTGGTCCCATGGCACGTATGGCATGTCCAGTCAAAGTTGCTATGGTAAAGAGATGAGGATTCACTTCATTCACAGCCTGACAAACAGAAACAAGTAAAAACACATTCAGTTGAAAGAATGATCAACGTTTTAATGAGTCTTAAAACAAAAGGTGTTGACTTAGGCCTTCTGTCATGCCAAAAACATGCCCAGAATAAAATATCTGCTCATGAGAACACTACCATTGAACATTTCTAACTGGCCAAGCCTGGTTGCTGCAAGTTAGTCAGATGGATGAAGGGTTGGACCAATCAGGCTGTAGGGTAAAGGATTGGGTCCAGGCCTTAAGTATTACAAGAAAGTAATGAAAACTGCACATTAAGACTGCCATGTCTCAAAATGAAGAATCTTGGTCTTTTGAAAAATTCTTTAAGATTTGTTGAATCACTAACCTTTTGTTTCATTTCACAGAGTACATCAGCCATTGCCATACGCCCCTCAGCATCAGTGTTACCAACACGGACTCGCTTACCAGCTCTAGATGTAATGATCTCATCTGCGACATAACTCTCTGTTCATCACATTACCCCCAGAAAACATTTAAACAGTTGGCAAATAGTAATCAGCTTCTTTTTCCATTTAATACAAAAGTAGACAATTCACAGGAGGGCAGAAATGTATTCCGTTGCACATTTTGATCCCTAAAGGATTCCAAATCTTTTCAAGAATAATGAACTTTTCAAGAACTTTTTTAATCTACCTGATCTGAATGACGTGTGTTATACGGCAATACAAATAACTGTTCATATCAAGGTGTAATCTGGTGCTTGATTTGATGATGGTTTAGACTCACCTACTCCAACACTGTTACGGACCATAGCCATGGCTCCAATTACTTTAATGTTCCGGGGTTTCAGCAAATCCAAAGTTTGAAAGAATCCTGCCACAGTTGCTGCCCCACACTTATCTCTAAATGAACCACCATAGTGCAAATGTTAGTCAGATCAATCCTCTTGTCAAAATAGTCCAAGCAAACTATGTAACATTGTTGCAGTATGTATCAACATTAGACTATCAAAGTTTCTTCAAGAAATCTTTTTATTACATAAATAAAGCCAATCTAAAACACCTGTGCATCCCTGCCATGTGACCGCCAGCCTTGATATCAGCTCCACCAGTGTCATAGGTTACACCCTAAAATAAAAACAAACATGATTGCGAGCAATCACCAAAATCACAAAAACTGGAAGCTATATTCACCCTTACATATCTACCTTTCTACTTCTCTATTTTCAAACCTACCTTTCCAACGAACATCAATGTCTTCTGCACTTGACCCTCTCCTACATATTCCAGCTTGATGATGCGTCCTTGGTGGCGCTCTACAAGCTTAGCACATCGATTGACAGCTGAGAAAAGCGGGTAGGAGTTCATAAGAGTGTTGTCATCACTAACTACACTCACCTAAGAGCAGTGACAGAAAAATATACTTTGAAAGGTAAATAAGATATTCACTGACCAGTTAATTGTTACAAATTGTTACAAAAAAGTAGTCAATTTATATTTGTCACCAAGATATGGCAGAATGTTGTCAATGTTAAGTTCAATCCAAGCTTTCACTTTCTTTCTTTGCAATGCACAAATACGCTCAGTTAAGACATTTACCTTGACACTTGATGAATCTCTGAAAAGATCCATAACATATTGAGACACACTGGGTGCAGCCATACGTTCAGGATCTGATCCACCAATATCACGGGCTACCAACCTACAGCAGCCAAATAAACAACCAAGAAAAGAGGACTACAGGGAGAAGTAAAACAACTCTGGGAGGGCTTGAATGAGAGGAGAATGGAAAATTGTATACTAAATGCTAAGTGTTTATGCCTGTTGTTTGAAGACAGGTGCTTCATGTGTAGCCGTATGCATGTTAACTCTTTGAAGAGCCATTTTCCACCTTTCATTATGGTCAAGCTCAGTGTAAGCAGGATATACAATCTTCCATTTTCAGTATCTCAGAGCTGTAACACTAGACAGTAAAGTTGATATACATATATGTACACGTACAATCTAAATTCAGCCAGCTTATTCAAACAAATTAACTAATAACAGAATCAACTTCATGACAACCTTCCACTCTCAATAGCTGCAGCATGTTGTATGAGAGAATTCTGAGTTGCTGCATTCTCACACCAGACAAAGAGTTTGTTGGCCTTCTGAGCCTTAGCTGGAACATCTTGGCGGATTTCATACGGCTGTTGGTAAACAGAGATGGACGAAAACCAGACACAACTCTGATAATGTAAGTTACATGTATCACATTCCACATGCAATGACTCAATACATGTTAACTTCCCAATGCTAAAACTCAATCATAACTTGAATATTGACAAGGGAAACTGTGTGTCAAGAAGTAATGTTCTGTGAACATTTGAACCATTTCACAGAATTTCTCCAATTCTTAAAAATATTAGACACATAATTCTTACCACATACAAGACTTGCAAGGCTCCAAGGAGAGATATCAGACTAGTCTTGGGGAATGTATCATCAGGTGCACAGATCAGCAAAGGACACTTGCTACCTGCTGCTATAGCACTAGGAAAAAAGAAGGAATTTTAGTGTTAAATAACTGCAGTGTACTAAGAGTCTCCTTGTTCATAGCTTGTTTGCAAAATTAAACACTCATTTTTTATGTTCCAGTTACAACTTATCGGTAATATACAAATATATAACTTTTCAAGAGGTTTGTTTCTCTTGGAACAATGTCTCACCGTTTAATACCAGCTCCTGCTGCATCTGCAAACCGTCTGACATCATCATAATCCCTGTTGACTGGACCAGTAGGTGAAAAGACAAATGCTTTGGGAGACTCTAGTGGTAGTGCTATCAGGGACACAGTACTATGTAATGAACCGTCCACCTGGAAAGACAGCATTTGAATGATATTCACTAAAATAACTTGGATTTCTATGCTATCTGCTCAAAGTCTTAGCTTAATATGTTTTGGACATGTAGCACAAAAGGAATGATTTTACACGGACAATATCCAAAGTTAAGTACTGGTATGTGAATACATAGGAACAAAGTTCAACAAGTTTCATTAATGTGATTATTTGAGATAAAGTCTAACATCCTTTGTTAATTAAAATATTATACAATTTTAAAACACAGAAACAATCTGCCATAAATTCTTTGCTCTACTTTTCCGTTTGGTATCCTTCTGTATGTTTTTGGTGGTAATTTGAACAAAATAAATGTTTCTTGAAGCCACTAACAATAATGTCTTCTATTAGTCTTTTCGATACAATCAAGGTAATGAAGCATTTTTACCTTTAGCTGGGCCAAGAGTACAGTCTTGTACAACTCAAGATTTCCTGTCAATTTGTCCAAACTACTTGCAACTAGAACAATACTATCACTTCGGGCATCATTGTGGTCTGATGTTGCCTCCACCTGGCAAGGAAGTCTGGAAAAAGAAAAATCAAAACTTTTTCACGTTTTACTTGAATTTTGATTTTATTTTCCATAAAAGCATTGCACCACAAAGCTGGCAAAAGTATGTGCGCAAACACATGCTGAAGATTGTTTCCTGAATGGCACATTTGGTAAACTGTGACCACATTATGACGTCAACTAGACACTCTACTGCAGGAGTCATCAACACACAATAAACAGTTTGAATCACAACATGAAAATGGTGACTTTGAGCCCACCTAACAAGAGCATTTCCAATTCAAACGTGAAACTTCTCATTCCTTCAGAAATGTGAGCAAACCTTATCACCATCATTGGAATATTTGATTCCCACTGAATCCTACGATAGGTGCATTAGACAGTTTGAGGATTGTCGGTGAATTCTAAGGAGTTCTAGGGGTATGACATAGTATGAGCTATTTTGACTGAAATCAACTAATCGAAGGAAAATCCTATGAAGGGTACTTGTCTTCTACTATCACCCAACCATGTCAAAATAAAAAAAATGCAATTTGTGGAGTCCAAATTACTCGGACTAATGATGACAATGGACCATGGAGAGTAGAAATGCACATCACAACTTGGAGACTGTTGTTAAGTCCCTTTATTTGGAGACAAACCAGTCCCCTAAAAGAAAGAATAACTCTTTGAAATGTTAACTGTTGACTAAGAGAACATAGGAGACGGTAGCCGTCTTAAGGGGAAAGATCTCAACCCATTTGCTGGAGTGATCTACTGCCACAAGTAGGTATTCGTGGCCTGCGTGGCTCTTAGGGAGGGCCCCATCAGATCAACGTCTACTACCTCCCATGGCTCCTGAGAGTGCGTTGATCTGTTGATAGCATCATACCCGCTGGCTTACGGAATATTGGTTTTGTCTCCTGGCATCAGCTGCTGCTATGAACAAAGATGCGGACATCCTTGGACATGCCCTTCCACCGCAAGTTGAGGTCTTTCAGTCTGTGGAACATTTTGGTTCTGCCCTGATGGCCCGCAGATGGCTTGGCATGACACTCTAGTGGTACATCGTGCCGTAGGGTTTTTGGCACAACAATGCTTCACTTGGAGTTAGCACAGTGCAGCAAAATGCCACTGTCAACTTGATATTCCATTGCTCGCTATTGAACAAGTCGGAGCTGTCGAGCATCGTTTGCAGCGTATAGTGGCAAAGATCCTGTGTGTAATTTGCACAGTCAGGGTCATGAGACTGGGCTTCAACAAAGAGTTCTCGCGTAAACATAGTATGGGGAAATGCATTAGGGGACGAGACAGCATTCTTCTAGTGCAACTCCTTCTCCTTGTCTCGTCATTTCTTCCGGCATACTGGGCAGGAGAAAGTACACATAAACAATTGTTTATCCCGATGTGCACGCACTTTTGGTGATACCATTCACTACAGTCATCGCACTGCACCCAGTCAATGATGGCGTCCATGGGGCAAAGGCAGGGTTCAGCAGCACACAGAGTGTCGTCACTGTTGATAGCACCATCACTGGTAGCCAACACAGGTGTAACTGGGGGCGTTAAACTGGCAACTTCTTGAGAGCCCATACAACTGCCAAGCACTCTCTCTCAGTGACACTGTAGTTTTGCTTGGCAGCAGTGAAAGAGCGGCTGGCAAAGGCGACAGGGCATCTAGTGGAACTATGCCACTGAAATAGAAGGCACCGAGTCACGTGTCACTGGCATACGTATGCATGATGAATGGTTTGTTTGGGTCTGGGTAGGTGAGGATTGGGTCACTTGTCAACATCGGCTTTAGGTGGTTGAATGAGGACTGGCATTCGGCAGTCCCGTTCCAGTTTGCGTTCTTACGGCGGAGCTTATGCAGTGGTTCTGCAACGGTCGTGTAGAGTGTTATGAATTTATGGAACCACAAGACCATGCCAAGGAAACGCTCGAGTTGTTTCACCACCGTAGGCTCAGGATATGCAAGGATTGCCGGCACCTTTTCGGGATTGGTCTTTATCCCATCCTGTCCGATAATGTGCCCGGGATAGCACATTTGCTGGCTAGCAAAGTTGCATTTCTCCTGATTGACTGTAAGTCCGGCCTCTCGGAACTTGGTCAATACCAGACGGAGATCAGTGAGGTGACATTGCAAGTTGGGCAAGAAGACGACGATGTTGTCCAAATATACATAACAGGTGCGTCCAATGAGGTCACCCAGAACTGAGGTCATGAGTCGTTGGAAGCTTGCAGGCCCGTTTACAACTCCGAAGGGGAGCACCCGAAACTGGAAAAGTCCTTCCTCGCAGGTAAATGCTGTTTTCTCCATATCCTCTGGAGCGATGCCCATTTGCCAGTATCCCGAGTGGAGGTCCAAGGAAATGTAGACTTGTGCGCCATGAAGTGATTCAAGAACCGAGTTGATGGTTGGCATAGGGTATGCATCCAGCTTAGTTATCGCATTCAAACGGCGATAATCGATGCACATACGATAGTCATTGTTCATTTTGGGTACCATGATGACAGGAGCAGCCCAAGAGGAACTTGATTTCTCGATTTTTCCTGTCGCCAACAGCTTATTGAGTTCCTCCCTTAGGGCCTGGCTGCGATCTCCAGACATCCTGTAAAGCTCGCAACTGGATGGGGGCAGAATCTCCGGTATCAATGTGATGTTGCGCAATGTCAGTGTGGCCAGCTGAGAGAACGTCGAGGGTTAGGTTGACTTTCTTGATGAAGTCGAGCCTCAGCAGAATGGGTGTGGGCAGCTGCTGAACACAGTGCAGCACAATGTCTGTTTGCATCCCACCAATCTCAACAGACAAGGTCACTGTTCCCAGTGTAGGTATTTTTGTTCTATCTAGCATGGTCAATGTCTCTAAAGAAGTTCCTTGTGATGGAGAAATGTTAAGTTGCCAACACATGCGGTCCGTCACCAGCGACAGAGTCGATACTGTATCAAGCAAAGCCATGACCCGAAACTCTCCACCAACAATGGCCTCAATCAGTGAGCCATTTCCGGGGCAGGGAGGAGCATCCTGCCTCTCCATGGTGGGCGAAAGGGTACACTGGATAAAGTTGACACGATTGGGTTTGTCAGGTGAGGGTTGTGGTTTGGTTGGTTGTCGAGCTGAACCAGTCTTTTGGGTTGGGGCAAACTGGCTACATTCTGATTCTTTGTGTCCCAACTGGTTACACCAATAGCACACTAGGTTGTACCTGTTACGAGGCTGTCCTGAGGGCGTGCTTGTCACTGTGTGTTTAGCTGAAGTGTCAACACCGGTTGTTTGTGGAGCGGGAACTGGGTAACGAACACTTGGTGTAGGGTGGGGTTTCACCTCAGATTTGCTGCATGATGAGCTGGCTGGGAGATTAGAATGGCGGTGCAGGACAAAGTCATCCGCAGCCTTGGCAGCACTGTGTAGTGATGTGAATTTCTTTTCATGTAGCTTTAGACGGAGCTGGTCATCTCCGATGACAGACAAGAACTGGTCTATCATGACAAGATTCAAGGCTCGTTTTGTGTCTGCATCCTCCTTTTTGGCCATGGGGAGTTGGATCCATTTGTCAAAGTTCCATTCAAGGCGATGTGCAAACTTCTCAAAGCTCTCATCTGGCTTCTTTGTGTCTGACTTGTATAATATGATAAGACTTTGGTGTCAGAAAGTAGCAGTGGTGTATGACTTGTACAATGTTGTCATGGTTCAATTTCTCTGTGTCACTCAGAGAATGGAATGCCTTTTGTGCTCGGCCTGTGAGGTAAGGCTCCAGTAAATGTGGCCATTCCTTCTTTGGGTTTTTTCAGCAGTTGCAAGTCGTTCAGAAGTATTCAAGTAGCATGCGATGTCATCATTAGGGCCCAATTTGTGGAAATCAGGCAACTTTGGACCCCTATTCACAATTGGAGGAGTCTAGGCAGACTCAGATACAGCATTGGCCAATGTCTCATAGAGTTCGTGGTGTCCTCACGTCTACCAATCTCCATCTCCTGGAGGACTCAAGACTAGGTTTCTGCACCGGCGTCATTTCCTCTACCAAAGTGGGTAAATCACGGAGACATGCCACACGCTCTTGCCTGGTCTTAACGGCCGATGTATCAATGTGGTTCAGTTCACACAGTCTACGGATGTGGTCCGCAGTGAAGCGGTTTAGGTAGGTACATGTAGCTCTATCCATGTTGGTGGATTGCACAATAAGTGAGTTCGTAACGTTATCAAGTTATTTACCGCCGACAAAATCCATGAACAAAATGCAACTTTCTCACCGCGATCCTGCGGACTACGCAAAAGTTGTAACAGGCCAATCACTACAGGTTGTTTTAGAATCCCGGAGACAGACAGTCCCCACAATATTCCACAGGATTAGGCGGATTTAACAATGATAATATAACACAACTTTAATGATCTCAACACATCTCAGGATGCCATTTTACGGAAAACTCTGATCACCTATCCCATCATATCTTATCCTATCATACGGACAAGCTATACATTGTGTTTGTATGAATTGGTGTGCATACCAATCCGCTATAAACATGGAGAAACTACCAGAAAACATGGGAAAACTACCACAAAACTCAGGAAAACACCACTATTGAAAATATCAGTTAACATAAAAACTACTGGAAACAATTGGAAAACGATAAAAAAATAATGGGATTATTTTTAAAAAACGGTAGGCTAAATATAAAAAACTAGGGTACCAGAATTGAAATAAAACCAGACAGCAAAACATACATCTTCCTGAACACTGAGGCCTACAATTTACCCAGTAGTACCTTACCATGCTTACGGTTAAGGTTCAGGAAGAAGCCCATGTCCATCACTGATCAGTAAGTAGGACTAGACTCCTAATCTACTAATCAGTAAGTAGGACTAGACTCCTAGTCCTACTTACTGATTAGTGATGGACATGGGCTTCTTCCTGAACCGTAAGCATGGTAAGACACTACTTGGTAAATTGTACGAATAATGGGCACGACAGTTGAGTGTTGTGTGACATCTGCCTTGTCAGCACGCTTTAGTACAACTACTGAACTGGGCCTATACTCAGTACAATATGCCTAATAATATTAGTAATATTCTTTCCCATTGTAACAAGATCTGATTTCAGCATTAACAAAACTTTTTCAAAGCTTTAAATGGATAACCCAAAGAGAAGTTTACAACAATATCTTAAAATTTTTAAGGTTTGGCCGTCCAAAATAGGCCTATTCTTCACAGAATAATAACCCACCCTCCGTATCTCGCCATTTTCCCATAGAGAGACTCACTGGTACTTTTGGAAATCTATAAGTTAACAGACACCAACGAAAAAATAATTGCAGGCGCATGCAAGAGCGAAAAATCATGAGACACATCACATGACTAGGACACGTTAGTCAGATATTCATATGCTTTATCGAATGACCGTTAAAGACATAGGAAACACGACTTAAAAGACCAGGGACTCGTTTTCCCAGGGCAGCGGTATGAAACATATCTCCTCCATCTTACACGCGCAAGTACTCCCCATTTTGAGGCGTGCATGAATCGGCTGCCTAAGTGCATCATATTCGCTCTGCATTTATCCGCCAAACGGATTGAAAAGTTTGGCGCGATATCGACGCTTTTGAGGGCACAGACGAGCTGTCAAAATAAAAGATATTTCACTACGTCAAAACAGTACAGCATGCGACTGGTGCAATTCCAATATGCGGGAAGGGCCGGTGTAGGCGTGGAGCTTGGACAAGGGGGAGATATTGTAGATCTCTGTGCGGGAGACCCAAACATTCCAAGTAACATGAAGAATTTTGTAAAAGAAGGACAGATCATGTTAGATGCAGCTAAACAGTAAGTTGAAATTTGCACGATTGAATTTATTTTTGGGCTGTTTCCAGCCTTGCTTTATATCTTTACTGTTTATAAATTATAGGCCAACTGGCTCTTAATTAAACATTGTATCTATTCTATATATATATAAGTTTGAAGTAACCAGATAAAAATGGACATGGTGAAATGTTAGAAGTCCCCGAAACACTCATGCTTGCTCAGGCTATCCATGTGTGCTAGTAAAAAGGACTGGTTAACTTCTGAGATAGTTTTCAGAACAGGTGCCTCTTGGGATGTATTGTTTTAGGGGTAGAATACTTCTGTTACATTCTTGACATGAAATTAGCAGAAAAGGTAGATAGTTCATTGAGACAGCTTTTTCAATTTTTTCCTTAAATTTTATGTACTTTTTATTCACTGCACAGAGTGGTCTTGTCAGGCAAACATGTCCTTAAAAGAACAGAAGTAAACCTACGAGCTCCCATTAATGACTGTGATAAAGTTCTCTGTGTCGGAATGAATTACCGAGAACATTGCATTGAGCAGAAGGTTCCCATTCCAACAGAGCCAATATTCTTCAGTAAGTTTGCGAGTTCCATTGTGGCTTCAGGAGATGACATCATTTATCCAGATGTCACTGATGAACTTGATTGGGAGGTGGAACTTGTCATTGTTATTGGAAAAAATGGCAAAAATATCAAGGTACATGTAATCTAATGACTGGCAAATTATTCTTATATTTTACAATGAGTAGTGTTCTTACCCATTAGTCAGTACATTTTCACAGGCTGTCGTCTTCAGTGTTTCACTGTCTTTATCATCTTTTCTTATCAGGAGTCAAATGCCATGGATCATGTGATTGGGTACACAGTAGCTCATGATGTCAGTGCTAGGGACTGGCAACTGAAAAAGAATGGCCGTCAGTGGCTTCTGGGTAAAACCATGGATACATTCTGCCCTCTCGGACCAGCAATTGTCACCAAGGATGAGATTTCAGGTACAAAATTTAATCAGAAATTTGATTGGTTGGGAAAATTTGAGAAAGTAGACCACAGATTAAAATACCGTAAATAGAACTTCAGTTTCTACTAGACCTTTAATGACATTGTGATTGTCGAATGAATAATTGAGTTCTGTCAGAGGGAAATATGCTATAGAATGACAATGTCAACGGCCAGACTGAAGAATGACATTTTGTAATCTTCGTTTCTTTTGACAGATCCTCATAATTTGGGGATTCGATGCAGAGTGAATGGTGACATAAGACAAGACAGCAACACTAATGAGTTGGTGTTCAACACAATGCAGCTCATTGCATTTATTTCTAGGTATGTCATTTGATGGTTTTGATGGTGTGTTGTTAGTTATGATGGTTCTGGATATCTTGGTGACAGTCATAATAATGAGGCACTGGTTGATGATGCAACAGACAAGGAATTAGACATCAGTTTCATTTCTAAAAGATGTATTAGAATTTCAGAACGAAGATCCTTGCAACACAATGCAGAGAAAAGTATGAAAGAAAAGTATTGTTCTTTTACCAAAGGCTCCTAACACTGCAAGCTGGAGATCTGATTTTGACTGGCACACCATCAGGTGTTGGTGTCTTCAGAAAACCAAAGCCAATCTACCTCCAGGTGAGATGACTCAATTTCTTAACTTTGTGAAATATTTCCTGCCTTTTTGAGATTCTAGTTCAGATTCGTGAGGCTGAAATATCGAGTAACAAGTTCATCACCTGTCAACTTGGATTCATTTGTAACTTAAGCTACGATGTTTCTTCTGATTCGTCATAGTTATTTGAATATCCCATCAGTGTTATTGATTTTTTTTCTTCTTTTCTTTTGTGACAGCGAGGCGATGTGGTTGAATGTGAAATTGACGAAATCGGGACCATCTCTAACAAGATTGTATAAATATCATTAGCCAACAGGAAATGAGACTTATTACATGTTGGTACCCCTCCCCCATACAGGAATATTTGGATTGTAATTTCCACTCAAATATTTGCTTATGGATGTGGATAAATGAAAGAAACTGTGATAGTGTATTTTACAGCCTATTAAAATTTAACTGGATTAGAGCTCTGCCTACCACTGATCTCAGTAATAAAAAGAACAAATGTTATACTGCAGAAAAGGTAACACAGCATTTTTCTTAAAACCAAACTGCACAGCATTTTTCTTAAAACCAAACTGCATGTACCTTTTTAAATTTCACAATGCTGTTGTGCATGACGTAACATCGGAGTTTTTGAAGATTTCAAATGCTGCAAGTGCAAGCGTGAAATTTACAGTAAAAATATTGAACATCCATTGAAACTACCACCTCTTTTATACACAGCTGTTTAACTATATACAGTTTACTTGCATTCGTTTTCAATTTGTTTTGTTCTGCAGACATTAGTAGATTTAAATACATTGCTCAGTTTACATTTTTCATTGTTATTAAAAAAAAAACACATTGCAGTACAAGCCAGCATGTTACTTAAAGGAACATCACAGTTGTAGCTACATGTATAAATCTTTACGTATATTCTAATAAAATTTTTCAGTACATGTACCTTTATTATCTTCAAAATTGCAAACTACAGTGTTTTATTTTGTTAAAAAGACTATAATAAAACATTTGAAATTAAAAATCTGGAAATACATGTACATAAAGGTCCATCAATAAATGCATGCTGATATGATTCAAAAAGCAATGCCTGGTGTCACTCGAGTTGATTATGTCACTTTCCTTGACTGGAGAAGGGGAAAACAAATCAATTCGTGGGATGCTCACTGCTACTTTACAATTTGTCCACTCTCCATTGTCTCATGATAATGCCTTTGGCTAAAGAAAGATTCATTTAAACCCAACCTTTACGGCTGTTGATGGATTTCTACCTTATTACAGAACAATTGAGGGTACAATGTATTAGAGTATCTCGAACCAAGAAACTTGGTAAAGCCTAGACTCACTGTAATTTTGATGTACAGTCGTACACTATGAATTAAAAATATGAAAGGTAAATATTCTAACTGAAATTCACTTAATCTGGGGAAAGTAACTTTGGTTAAAATTAGTGAACTGTTACATGTACATGTAGCTATACCATACACAGGTAAATCAATTCTTAATCAAATGAATTCTTTTTGGAAATGTATAATCCTTTAAACTGCTAAAAAAGTGCATGAAACAACTACATGTAATGTTACACCGCTGCATATGTGAACACTTTTACAGGGGTTCTTTTTTTGGCCCCATGGTAACATGACCACTTCGAATCAGTGCTAGAGGGTAGCATGTAAAATGTGGACAGAAGTTTTATCGGGACCTTATCTTCCACATGAATTACATCTTGATTGCGAATTACTCTGTTTTTAGCCAAATTCGTCTTGTGCACATCCAATCTGTACATGTGCACCACAACTTCTCTTTCTATTTTCAGTTTACACTGCACTAAACAATGGTTCCAAAAACAATCAGTACACTGTAAACATGGTAAATGCTTTTCTTAACATCACAGGTCAACATGTTTTATTTTCTACTTCCATTCTAACTTAATGTTGAAATTCTCTCTTTTGGCGGTTTTTTCCCATGTCTCATAGTCTTTACGAGTAATCTGTAAGCAGTTGATAAGTTTGACAAACTCTAACTGGTTACTTGTGGCACTAAGTAACTCACTCAATGTTTCCTGAGTGATGCAGTGACATTCATGTACAGATAACTGTTTCAGATTGGAGAAGCTATTTTTTCTAAGGACACTCCGCAAAACATTATCTGTCAGTGTGTCAATTCTTATTAATCCCAAAGACTCTAATGCTATGCAGTTTGTTAACAACAAACCTAAAGCTTCTTCAGAAAGTGATATATCACCATTTTGACACCAGAAATCTAATTCTATTAATCCTGTCATGGGTTGGAGTTTACTGTTATTGGGAATGCCACCTAATGAACTGAATACTTTACCCTCTTTCATCATTAGAAGGAAGAGCTTTCGAAGGTTTGGGCACAGTTGGCACACCATAGCTGGATCTAACCCACCAATATCTTGAAGGGATAACACCTTTAGGTTGTGGCCAATCTCTAGGAGAACTGGCATGATGCCACATCTGAAGGTTATATTCTCACTCTCTTCACAGCAAAGTTGGAGATCCTTAAGATTATGTAGTTGAGCAAGATGGAATAATCCTTCATTGTCAAAGCCTCCAGCAAATCTCAGGTCAAGTTGGGTCACATGAGGGCAAAGGTCAGGGATAGCTTGGAGCATTCCATTGCAGACTGACATGAAATCCTCGCACTGTAATGATCGAAGTTGGAAGCATTCTGAATGTTTCAAGACAGGATCCAAGCAACCAGTTTCTGATTCATGACTATCAAATAAGCAAGTCAGGAGACTTGGGTATTGTAGGATTTGCAACTCTGGCATTCCCTGAAGTATTGCACGCACCCCTCTCTCAGTTATTAATGTGTAGGAAATATCCAACCGTTTTAACTGAGTGCCTGATAATTGATTAGGAGCAACTTCACACAACACCATGATGTCTTGATCACCGATGTGACAATGTTTTAGTGAAAGATCCTTCAGTCTACAGCAATACTTAAATACACTTTGAGCAGCTAAACCACGGAGGTTAGTCTTGGTGGCATTCAAGGTTGATAGTTGAGGAAGGCTTGTTGCTATGGCAATGAATCCTGCAGATGTAACACGCTTGCAGTATGATAAGTTCAATACCTGAAGCATCTGCTTGTCAATATAAAAGAAGACAACAGATATAAAGGAAATGTGTGTCTGTGACCTACATATAGTAAGCAAGCTTTCCTCACTATTTGCATATAAATGGAAATTCCATCTGGAAAGCAATTAATGACATGAAAATTATTGGACCATCTCATTTGTATTGTTATAACATAGGGTAATGAATCTTTCTTCCCACCTTGCATGAGGAAGTTACAATCCTTACAACCTCATCATTGACAATGCGGCTACAACTGCTCAGATCCAAGTTTTGAAGAGCACCTCCGTACAGCAGGAGATGGAGAGCAGATCGGCTCAGTTGTTGCTGCTTCACCAGAAATGTCAGAAGATCTTCAGAAAGCTGAGAGTCTGAAATAATTAAATTAAAGGTTCTCATAAATGATGCCAAGAAAGATTTTACTTGGAAGCACATTTACAATAAGCCAAACGAAAAATTATTCTCCAGAGTTCTTCAATATTATAAATGAATAAACAAGTCAAAATCTTTAAGCGGAACTTCGCTTAATGTAAGCAGAATGGATATCTTGAGAAGTAAGCTTTCGGAAGTTTTGAGGGCCTAAATGCATCGAGCAGGGAATAAACAAGAGTAGGGAAACGCTAGTCACTGAAAAGGGGAGATTTTTATCTGCATGTAGGTTACAAGTACATGAATACATAAGAGCAGTTTTTTTTAGCTATCTTGGCCATGAAAATAGTACAAATACATGAATTTCGAATCTGAATTCATTTGGATTTTTGTTTTCTCTTTTTTTGGCTACTGCTTTCAGAGGATCAGAAGACCTTCTAAAAAGAAGTACAGATGCACCTTGTTGTTATGGGCCTATTATTGATAGAGAAGAATAATATATTCAAACTGTTGGAAATATGTGCAGCTGATGTCATTTACAATACTGTGAGTGAAATTGGCAACTTAACAACTTACTGAGTTGATTAAATGGCCCAAGAACAAAGCGATACACTCCTTGTCCAAGGTAATATTCCTCATAATGTTCAGTCCAGTAAAGTAGATTTTTGGCAATAAATCGTAGACATACATCCTGTAAACTACCTGCTGATTTGCGCCGAGGCATTATTCCTGTGGTAAAAAAAAAATCTCTTTAATTTGAGCTTGTTCAATGAGATGCCAACAACCACTGGTGGTGGAAGTGAGAGGGCCAGTGCATCCCCACTTTTTCAACTAGGAGGGCGTGGCCCCCAAAACTTTTGGCCAGTCCTAAAAAGGGCAGGGCTTAATGGATCGGTCTTATGGCTGATGTCTGATGGTCTCATACATGTACTAGTAAGTACTTCCCCCTTTGAAAATTGCTCCATGGTCACTGAGTTAAGTTTTTGAGCATTGGGCTCGACAGGACAATCTGTACGGTTGTCTGACTGCTCTGCATAATTACATGTAGATGCTTAGATCTAAATTTCCATGTTTTTGTATCATTTCAAACAATCTTCCTGAATTGCAAATAAGAAGGAAAAGGAAGACTTATTGGCCAATCATGGAATGAGATCGTTTAATTGCGCAAAGATCGAGAGATTATGCAGACTGTCTGATTACACCCGACATGTACATGTACATCCACTGTATGCTGTATTAGAAAGTCAGCAAGATTATGAGACTGGGCTGATCAAATTCCCTGTTATTGTTATCATGGAGTACCCTAAATTCAATTATTCAAATGCCCTACATCACAAAAGACAGTGTGGTGAAAAAACACACCTTGATTTCCTTTGCCGAGCGGTGGATGTTAGCACTTTTTAAAACTTCTTTTGTAGAAATGGAAGTTTTGTTTAAAAAACAGTACCCAAATCGATTGCTTATTGCATTTAGGGCTATCACTACTTTTGGGCAATTTATTTGAAAGAATGAGAATTTATGCATGTGACTTAGAATTAAATTTAAAATAATAAAATCAAAAGAGAGAAGAAAGTCAGGATATGGTAACCAGAAGTAATTTTTTCTCCAAACCCCATCCCCAAGCTTCAACACACAAATTTGTTCCCAATTCAAGAAGCACAATTTTCTTTCTTCAGAAGTAACACAGCTGATGAGACCATGTCAAATGATGTTCATAGTATGCACGAATGATGGTGAAGTACATAGAAATGTAAGACTAACTACACTGATACGGCTCATCTGCAGATGACGGTTTTTCTGCTGCTATACTAGTGACAAATGGTAATATTCAAATATCAATACATAAAGGATTTTAGTCACACTTTTAACTTAAAAAGTGATGCCATCATCAAAAGGTTTAGTTCTAGTAAACTTAAAAAACCCATAATTTGTTCAAATACTAGCAAGCTATTTTGATTAAAAATCCGAGACATGTCTGAGAGAAATAGAGATACATGTACATTGTACATTGCAGCAGGCACATATGTGGTACCAGACAACACATCATCTCTTTTCTGGGCATCACTGTCGAGCTTGCGAGTATGATGACAGACACTGTGTCTCAAGGTGTAAAATGTTCCTTGGTCTATGGCAGAACATACATGTGCACTAAGGTTTCTGTAACAGAACGTACGTTATACCATGGAGGTAGAATGGTTATACCATCACCATGGAGGTAGGAAAAAGCGATGCGAGATACGAAACTGCAAGTCACAACTTTGACCATACAGTCAGACAGTAAATTAAAATATCTGCCATTTGTCAGGTCTGAGCTTACTCTGTATCGTGCTTGTTTCCACGATGATCTAACGGCAATTTTGACTAAATCAAACGCACTTAGGTTAAGTTACAGCAGCAACTTGCTCATGAATGTCAGATCAGCGACATGTA